CTCAAGCCTTGCTCAAGCCTTGCTCAAGCCTTGTCAAGATTTGTGCCGCAATTCCGTATTTCCTCCTATACCTTAAGTTAAGGGGGAAATATTCCCCCTCCATTGACACATCTTGACCTTTGACCCCCAAATTCGACATCCCGAGTCCTTTTCGCGATCCCTCCCGACGTCCCGAATATCAAGACCGTACGTCGCGTGGTTAAGATTTGTGCCCAACTGTTGACGGACGCACGGACGGTCGCATGCTCATGCGATTCTACAAGCTGCATCTGACTTCGTCAGCTGAGCTAAAAACAATCGCGTTGATTGGTTCAACTGTCTTTCTTCGTACACGGCAGCCGGCAAAAGTCAAACTCATTTGACTTTGGCCGTGAAACCGGGCTGGCGCCGTGCCATGTCAGTGGAGACTGCGCCATAAGATATAATATATTTGAACTTTGCCGGTAGGGGTGAACGGCGCCGTTTCCTTGGCGTTCCGTGCCGCGCCGCGTGTGTGGAGACAGGCCTTTAATGAGTGCTAATCTATTACTGATGTGCATCTGTGAAATGAACGATAGTAAAAAATAGACATGGATTAAGCAGTGATCTATTGTTGTTCCCCTGAGTGCGATAAACGATAGGGAGAAGTAGATGTGGAGAAACTGAGTGGCAGTAGCAAGGTTCTAACAAACTCCTCCCGTGCCACCATTCCCCTCGTTCTATACTAACGAACCCGTCCCTCCTCCCTCGTCCCACGAATGACCTGGCCTCCATATCTCCCCATCGTCGGTTTCAGGAGGTGAGGAGCAACGAGCACAACTACGACGCGTGGTTCGACTACTTGCGACTGGTGGAGAACGAGGGCAGTGTGGACGCGATACGAGAGCTGTACGAGCGTGCCATCGCCAACGTGCCGCCGACCGCCGTGAGTGCCCCAGCCGCCAGACACAAAACTGGTCCTACGTTAGTCTTGCACATAACTTTTTGTCTTGGACCGCTGACAGAAACGCCGTGAAGTCACGAGAATGACAAATCCTGGCAAATTCTCTCATAACTGTACAGAGCAAAATTCTGTCAATCGTCTATGAGAAAAAAGTTAATTTAAAGGTTAATGTTAAGACCAATTTTGTTTCTGACAACAGTGTCCTGCGAACTGATTTAAATGTCATTGAGTGCACCCAGATATATGGTGCGGGATTGTTGTCAGAAACATCGTTGGTCTTAACATTAACCTTTAAATTAACTTTTTTCTCGTAGACGATTGACAGAATTTTGCTCTGTACAGTTATTTGCCAGGATTTGTCGTTCTCGTGACTTCACGACGTTTCTGTCAGCGGTCCAAGACAAAAAGTTACGTCTCAAGACTAACGTAGGACCAGTTTTGTGTCTGTCGGCTGGGGTACTCACGGCGGTTGGCGGCACATTGGCGATGGCACGCTCGTACAGCTCTCGTATCGCGTCCACACTGCCCTCGTTCTCCACCAGTCGCAAGTAGTCGAACCACGCGTCGTAGTTGTGCTCG